TTTATTCGAGTCTCTAATACAATGTACCTTCCCTTTAAGTAAGTTTTGCAGAAGAGCTAGGAAGAGAACCCTGACTGAACTCAATGCAAATGTCAAAAGGCACTTTCATCAGGAACCTAAGGTTACAAAAAGGAAATTATAAAGCATGGGAGAAGCAAGATATGCCCCTTAACATGTAAAATGCAAAGAAAACTTTCAAAAATGACCCAGATATGTTCCCCGAAAGTGGTCTTCAAAAGAAGCCTTCACCTGGTCTTGTTGAGTAGAACACCCAGCCCTTTATCTTTCTAATTAAAGAGAGTTCATGCCACGAAACCGTCATGAACTTTTTGCTATCATTAGTCATTAGTAAGATTCTGACACGCCACATTTTAGGGTATCTAAGAAGTAAGTAGTCCCGGGTAGAAATGCCTCTTGCAAGCAAGAAAAATTCCCTTCCAAGACAACAGAAAAGAAGTCTTAATTAAAAACAAAGACCTCCAAAAAAAAGAAGATGCATTTTAGAAAGAGCTCGGTGAAAATGAGAATCGTGCAGAGCTAAAGAAGATCCGTGATGATACCAGGGGAACACACGATGAACTAAAAAAAAAAAGGCTGAGAGGCTTTCAGCGGAAGGAGCATTGGCTGATTTGGCACGACCCGGCACTCAACCCGATGCAGAAGCTACAGTTCAACCTAGCTTTTTATTATTTGCCACAACAAAATAAAGGGGAAATCATACAATTTTCAAACATTATTTTCACTTTCGCCGTACTGTGTTTAGGCCAAGCTAAAAAAGATCAAATCAATTGAAAACACAAAAAGTACCACCTTACACATTATCCTGGCTTTGAAACCCGTCTATCTGGCTACAGGGTCGCCAAGAATGAACACACATGCCATTGCTCTGTTTAGATGAATCGAATGAAAAACTTGAATTGAAAAACATGCATATGGTCTATATTATAATTTTGGACACCAGGGTTCCACGTCTCAAACAAAGGAAACTGACTTTCGAAAAGGAAAGCCAGTTGCAGATAGTTGATGCGAAGTGTGAGCAGGTGAAGGCACTTGTAGTTGCTTGTAGAGGTAGAACTTATAGAGGGGATGAAGACCTTCCTTGCACACATGAACCTTATGTGTCTTGGGTGGTGCATGTGTACAAGTTCATAGCAGGTCTAGCGCGGGATTAAAAATACACGGCTTAGGAGAGCTATAAACAGAGAATTCACAGAGAGCACATGTGAAGACTTGCATTAGCACTGTCCAAGTACTTCTTTATCTACTTATGTGTTTGAACGTTGACGCATCACAATAAATCAAGAGTTCAATTAATTGACTTTTACCTGCCGTAGCTCTCAGAATGAGACCTCATTCGAAGAAAATCAGGTATAGTAATAAACTCGTTTAGGTT